GTGTGTATTGTTTGGAAATGGATAACTGAAGTTGGGGGAGTAAAGGAAAGGAGAAGAGGGAACGGGGAAGAGAAAGAGGACAGGGAGAGGAAGATCTACATATTTGTCTTCCAGATGGAGGAGAAAGTTTATTTGGAAGCTCTAAATAGCTTCTGTGAAGTGAAAACTCTGAAAAACAAGACCAAACACTGGACTCTTATTTTTTCAATTACAGGAAGTTTATCAGGGACATTGCTGCATGTTAGTGATGCCTATTCATTGTACTCTGACAGGTATATTTGCTCCAGATTTTACTTCATTCTGCAGCGGCATGTCAGTGACAGTCTACATGACGGCATCTGGCACATTGGTAGATGGATAGCTCAAGCCACTGCAAAGACATGACAGGTGTTTCACATCCTTGCTACGTGGAACAGTGTCTACACACACACACACACACACACACACACACACACACACACACACACATTATTGGGCCAAGAGACCATAACAGACACCAGTAAGTACACACATTACCTGGCCAGCACATGTTTATCCTTCATCTTTTCAGACCTGGCTGTCACAGGAACACACTCGTCTCGCCATGATACCTCTTAACCTGACAGTCCCTGCACATCTCTGTTACAGTCACACTCCAGAAGTGTCGCTGGCTGTCACAAGTGGTCGCCACCTGTCACAGGCGGTCACAACCAGGTGAAACCAGTTCTGTAATCTCATTCTGGTGACATTAGGGTGACAGCACACTCCGGTGTCTGCTCTTATAGAGGGGAATTCTGTGTGAAAACAAGGCTGGATATGTGTCCATAAGCATGACGTGGATATTTAGACAAAGAAAAAAATTGCCAATGTCATCAAGTGTGGAAAATGGAGAATATTTTTGACACCATATGGTCAGTGGTGCCCACAGTCATTTTTCACAGAGGTGGCAAGATAGGGACAATGAAAACCATGGGTTTGGCACCAAGCGGTAACCTTCAAGGCTGAAAATTGATGCCACCCTGAAAGTGCCAAAAACTGCAGTTCTTTGAAAGGCCACTTGAGGCTCGTTCCAGAAGTGAGTCAATCCCTGGAGAACTCTTTACATTTTATAAAGGCTTCAATGCCACTTTGACTGACAGGCTGTCTGTGAGTCAGATCCCAACTTTACAGCTCCAACCTCTCATTCAAATATGGTCACTTCTGGTTCCCAAAAAAACAAGATGTCGACGGCTGAAATGCCGAACTCAGGGCTTCAAAGCAGGAGTCTCTTGGGTACCCAAAGAATCCATTTTCATTCAGATATCTTGAGGTTAGACTTCAAGGGACCCCTTTAAAAATGGCTGTGCCGATTGCTCCTTTGTGATAATTTAGGCTAGATTTAGAGCATTATTTAGCCCCCTTCGTGACAAGCTATGCTGACATGGTTGGTACCAATAGATGCCTTAGGTTGTGGAGTTTCACAAGATACCATTACCTTTGCCGGCTTAAAAAAAAATGAGCACACCACAGCCTTTTAAAGATAGTAATGTAAGCCTGCAGTTATTTTCTGTGTGAGGGGGACTAGCAGTTGTATCAGAGTGGCCATGGCCCCCCGGTTGCACCACTGCAGATGGTAAGGTATCTTGGTGACACATTTATTTCGGAATTTCACGCCCTCATGGCCACTCGCTTGTTCTTCACAGCGCCAGCATTTATCAACCAGAAAATAGACCCATCCAGTATCTCTGGAGAATCAGGCCCTGTACGTCACCCACTTTATTTATTATCAAGGGAGTTCTGCGAAGTATCACTTGATATCATTACAGATTACTCCTCTCAAGGCCGAGAAGTTCTGCAGCTGCAGCGGCCGTGCAGCATTCTGGCTCATCTACACAAGTTCTGTGTTAACTGTCCGAGATGATAGGAGTGTGTGGATTCTGTTTCAGGGGCGATATTTCACTTCAAGGCAAACAGAAAACAGCTTGTTCCTTTTTCAGTAGCCAGCACAATATAGCATATCCAAAGAGCTCTCCCCATGCTTCGAGGCTTCACAAAGCACTCCTGCTTTTGTGTTGACATTAGGTCTGTTTTAATTCCCATCATCACTTCTGCTACCCCCCAACTCATTCCCCGTGGTACTAACACTCTTTTTACTGGGGGAAAAAAGCACCAATGCTTTTTATTATGTTTTGCCGTCTTCCCTGTATGCATGAGCTGTTCAGCACTTCATGTTATTAAAGCAGGATTTTGGCAGAGCTATCACTGGCCCAAAGCAGTAATTACTAAGGGTTTGCATAGCTGCCTCTGACTCACCCGCCTTGGAAATGTTATTACTAAAGTCTGTCTCATTGGAGGCGCACGGGGAGCTTCTTGTGAAGCCCGTGTCTTTGCTCAGGCCATTCCAGCGACACTCAGCTCATATTCCCAACAGGGTCCCGGGGCATGAGACCAGATGTACAGAGCGAGGGAGGGAGCAAGCAAGTAATGATAAAGACAGGCTGTAATAGATGCTGTTTTGCTCGGAGCAGCTGTTTTTCACGGTATTCTGCATTTATTTCTTCGTTTTTCATCTTATGTATGTTCGTCCAAACAAAATAATTGACTTGAAGCATTGCCCCTGACAAAGAGACAGATGAAGAGAAGGGGATTGGCCCTTTTATTTTTTCCTAGGGAAGATATTTGGCTTGTATCTGCGTAGCTCCATTTGCCCTCAGACAAAAGAAAGGGCAAGAGAAAGTGTCTTGGGGTCTTAGTTTAGATGAAACGATTCAGATATGAACTAGTCTGAGATATGAGAAAAGCACTGAAGTCGCTGGGGCTTAGATAGCCTTTATTCAACTATTGATCTCTTCCTCTCCTTATTTCTTTCTTGTTCTCTCATTTTCTCTGTCTGTCACACAACCGCACACCGCACCATTGCCTAATTCCTTCAACCCTTCATGTCTTTTTCTCCGCCGGCTGGTGAGAACTGAGTGTTGCCTCTGCGTCTTGCAGCGCGTCCTGACAGCAGGCTCCGTTCAGGGTCAGATGTTAAATCTCTTTTCAGGGTCAGGAACCTCTCAAAGGTAAAACCCTAAAGAGGTGCTCATTAATGAGCTCAGCCTCTCCACCTCTGCAGTGCCACGCAGCACTGACCTGTAACACCTACACAAGTGTGTACAAATGCCCGCATGAAGGAATTCATGCATATAAACCTGTATATGATTATTCCTGTCCAGCGTTTCAAACATCCGCCGCAGTATGGAAACACCCCAGAAGAACCATTTTCTGTCTCTCATTCTCCTCACTAATCTCTCGTTTCCCTCTTTGTCTCCTTCTCCACTTCCTTCCCCCTCTCCCTCTGATTCCTCTCACTCTCTCCTGCGCTCACAGAGCGAGCAGGAAACAGGGTGGTCTGTGTAGGTTGCTCTCTGGGTTTGGGTTTGTTTCCAACAGAGGCTTATCTGCAAATGCTCAGGTTCAGCTAATTGGCATTATTAAACTGGTGGCGAGCTCAACTCGGATATAAGGGGAGGTGCTGTGGGTGTTTGTGTGCGTGGGCGTGCACGCACAATCGTCTATGCCTGTGCCTGTGCATATGTTCCCAACTGTGTCTATGTATGTGTGTATGGAATTTTAAGCAAGCAGCTGTCAATTTCAGTCAACAGGGCGCATGGCATGCCTGAGGCCCAGGTAGTCCAATTACAGGCAGACACGCTCGATGTACGAGCAGAAGCCTAGGCCTATCTTCCTTTATTCAAACACGGCTGTGAGAGAGGATCCGCTAAATGTAATGTTGGTCGATGTGTGAAGGGCGAACGCTGTTGAGAGCTGCTGCTGAGACAGAGGCAGATCTTGTATATATTTGGCTGCTGGTGGATTGATACCAGGTGGATTGAGGGATAAAGAGTTAGAGTAGGACAGTGGAGGCAAGTGCGGTGGTGTTCAGGGCCATTGTTTGCTTTAAAGGCACAGTTCACCAAAATCAAAAATACATATTTTTCCTCTTACCTGTAGTGTTATTCATCAGTCTATATTGTTCTGGTGTGAGTTTGTGGGTGTCTGAGATATCGACTGATAATCCACAGGCCTTGGTATCTTGCCATGATACCTCTTAGTTTCATGTAGGAACTATTTTGTTCCTACCGAATTACACTCACCAACAGTATCACCATGCAGAAGGAAGCATGCACCTACTCATGGATCAAAGGCTTGTGCTCATGACAGTGCGAGATGTGAACATTATTGGTGTCCTCCTTAGCTGAGCTGTAATGCTTAGTGGTGCTATGTTAGCTAGCAGTCATTCTCGGAACCCCTCGGCTGTACTCGGCTGATACAGCCTCTGGGGGCAGACCCCCGATTTTTTGGCATTCCGGTTTGATTTGGGCGGAGGAGGTGAATTTCTGTTTCCGACTTCTGTTTATATATAAGTAAATATGCTGAACCATTGCGATGGATTCAGAGTTTGCAATGACGCCAATTATATTCCGCCTCATTAGTTCACCGCACGGAGCGTTTAACCTGGCAACAACTGCAGCTGGCTCAAATGTGATTGGTCAATATCACACGGACTACAAACAGCCTACAACCGGAAACCAGGGCTCTTCCGCTCTTCTTCCAGAGGCAAGATCTCCGGGGTTTGCCTACAGACTCTACATTCAGTATATAGAGACTAGCTAGCAGTAGATGCACGCTTCCTTCTGCGCAGTGATACAGTTGCCAGGTGTAGTTCTGTAGAAAGAAAGTAGTTCCTCCATAAAACTGCTCACAACAAGCTCTGTGGATTATCTTGAGTAAGCGGACATGATTTCTGGAAAGAGACATTGCTGTTGAGTTTTTCAAATGTATTTTTTGGTGCTTGGAGCACCACAAGCCGAGTGCCATCTAGTTCCATTATGTTCAAGAGAAGGCAGACATCTCTACGGCTGATATCTCCAACACAGCAACTCGCACCGAAACAATCTAAACTGATAAACTGATAAATAGCAATCTGGGACTTCTGGGACTTGGACATTTCTTTCATTTCACCTTCTGCCCCTTTTGTTCCTTTCTCCTTTCCTCAGGGTGGGAAGATCCCAGTGAGGTGGACAGCACCAGAGGCTATCGCTTACAGGAAGTTCACCTCGGCCAGTGATGTGTGGAGCTACGGCATCGTCATGTGGGAAGTGATGTCATTTGGAGAGAGGCCTTATTGGGACATGTCCAATCAGGATGTAAGTGTTTATTTAGAAACATCAAAGACCCATGAAATTGTATCATTATCTTCTTAATGCGATGTACTTCCTTTTGAAACAGGACGTTGGGGCTGAAAATTAGACAGTGAGCAGTTTTATTTGATGGGACAGGCTGAAAGGTTTAATTGTCAAATAATGTGTGACTCTGTCGTTACACCCACTAGTACAGCATTACGTCAACACTGAAGATGAAACTTTTTCTGTGAAGTAGCAGTTTTCCAGGGAGTTAAAGTGTCCGTTTCATAAGATCTTTAAGAAAGATAATAAAAAGGAACATTTAAGTTGAGTGTTATCACTTTTATAAACTTCCATGCAGTAAAAACAAGTTTGAATCTGAATAAAGTGCCTCATTAATAGGACGGCCATTTCCGTACAGATGTGGTTATACTGTCTCTTCACCCCATAGATACACAATCAAGGATAACTCATAAGAGAGGAAGCTGTAATAAATCACACATTTTTATCAGCCCCCATCTCGTAGCATCATCACTGAAGATGTCCTTGACTCTGACTTTGAAAGCAGACTTATTATGGACACAGTCTCACACTATCCTCTTTCCTTCCTGGCCAGCTTTTGAGAGCAATGAATGATTGCTGAGAGCTCTGCTTTGTTCCCCATGTCCGTTTGGATAAGGTCCACACGCACACTCCCACAAACACACAGGCACCAACACAAACACGCACAGCCATTGGACGTAGTCCCATAGTGTGAGGTCTCTCTCCCTAAGCTCCCTAAGTGAGACAACTAGCCAACCATCAGGCCTCTATGGACCCCGCTCCACAAGGACCATCCAACCCAGCAGATGTTGCCACAGTGGGCCAGCAGCAAACACTGCCTGGTGGGACTAATGCAGAGAAGAGGACTGGCACTGCTCAGCATGTCCGGCTGCTCGGTCCACGCACACATACACACTTAAAAAAACATACACATACACACAACCACTTCTCCATATGCACCATTTGTCAAGATTGTGCTGAGTTGCACTCAGCTCCGGGGTGAAGTTGGCAACCTACAGAGCAGCCTCTAATTTTTAATGATAGTATCTTTTACACTTGATTTCACACCAGACCCTTATCTCGCAACTATGCATTTTTAAGAAAAGATTACATCTACAGACAGTATGGATATATGGATATGGGTGAGGGCTAGGTCTGTCAGTGTGCAGTGCAGCAATCTGGATGATCTTTACTCTTTGTGGTGTCTAAGAAATAGCTGCACAGCTTAAGCATTTTTGCTATATTTATTTTGACTTTATTGTTTGTATATTTATGAGAAAGCAGTGTGTGGAGTGCAAGGGATGGTCATTGAATTATAGGTACTCCACTTCAAAGTCTAAGTCTCCAATTTCGCCTCAAGTTCCAGCCGAACTTCATTCAACTCTTACGAAACACTTCACTCCAACTCTGACTACCCTGAAACTAGTCGTTGCTTCTCTCTAACAAGGCCAGAATAGCCTGTGCAGCCTTTAAGAGACGTGTGTCAAGTGGCTGTGCTTCACAGTGTTAATTATATGCAATCTGCCCATTCCCCAGCGACTTCTTTCCACTGTGACACTGCCTCTGCTCTCCTCTCTGTCTCTTTCCTTGCTCTGTCCTCCAGGAGTGACATGTGATTGGCTGGAGTCAAGAGGAAGGGCACATCAGCCTGAATGCTAACTGTCTCTTGAGTGACCAGAGGGAGTGTGTGTCTGCATGTATGGGGGTGGAGGTGGTGGTGCACTGGTGGGGGTGTTGTTGAGGCAGGGATGAGCGTGTCAGGATTACAGAGTGGATTTACTTAATGTCATTAGTCCCTGCAAACTCAAATTAGTATTTTATTTATAATGAAGTATATTATTGACAACCAGCCAGCTGGTAGAAAAACACTGTAACTGACAGCAATTAGTCGTAATTACTGTGTAGAGTACTGTAAATAATATAACCTGAGCTTCCCCTTCTCACCCCTCCTCCCCCAGGTGATTAACGCCATTGAACAGGACTACCGTCTGCCCCCGCCTATGGACTGCCCCAGTGCCCTGCACCAGCTGATGCTGGACTGTTGGCAGAAGGACCGAAACGTACGACCCCGCTTCACTGACATCGTCAGCACCCTGGACAAGATGATCCGTAACCCCACCAGCCTCAAAGCTGTAGCCAACATCCCTGCAGTGTGAGTAAAAGCGTTTTCTCATCAGCATGACACATGCATTCACCCTGAAGTGGACATTAAGTATATACAAATATGCTTTGCACATTTGTTTACACAGTATTTACACATGCTTTCTGCACAAACTATCCAGCACGCACATGCTTACTTTTTATCCTCTCATAAAATAAACATGAATATATTACCACTGATTGCATCAAACCTGAACTTTTCCTCTCCAGGATCTTTTTTTCCTGCTACTTATAACTCTCCCACCCATCCACACCCCTACACTGGCTTTGGAAAGTTCATTTTTCCGCATTCTGTAGTGTTAAATAAATGTTTTTTACTCACAATGATAAAGCAAAAACATGTTTTTAGAAAAAATAGAAACATTGCCTTGCAGTTGTATGACACTGTCAACCAGTAAAGGTGCAGCTCATATCCATGTCTGTCCAAATTATCACTATATTGACATGTATGATTCCAGTCATAAATTTCCAATAAGCTTGTGGTGGACTACCAGAGGAAAAAGTCATAGACACAATGCCTTAAATAGGGATGTTGCTGCAAAGCAGCTACACATTCTAAAACGTGGGGATACTTCTCTCACACATGTTCAACTCAGCAGCACAGAGGATCCATACAATCAGCATAGTTTCAAGATTAGTGTCACCAATTCTGATAATTCAACCAGCTGTGTGTCATCGCATTGTGCGTAGACGAATGTTGTTTGACTTCCCCTGGAGCTCCCCGCCCGTCCGATGGCGGAGGTCCACATGCTGGCAGCGGCACGGGGGCGAAGCCAAACTCTGCACACACTGTGATGCCACACAGCTGGTTCAATATCAGCAAAGTTTCCCTTTATATTCAT